TCTGAAGAAGGGTCTAGGCCCGAAACGTCAGCCTTCCTGCTCCTCTGATGTTGCTTGGCCTGCTGTGTTCATCCAGTCTACACCTTGTTATCTTAGATTCTCCAGCATCTGCAGTTCCTACTATCTCTGGAAATCTTTACAGTTCCTTTCCAGATCACAAGATTGCCCAAAAGCTCTTTGCAGCCAATAATGTACTTTCAAACTATTGTCGCTGTTGTCATGCCGGAAATTCAGAGCCAATTTGCAGTCGCACAAACAGCAATGTCATCATAATTAATAACCTGATGTTGGTTGTGGGATATATGTTGCGTTCAGAACTTTCAGGAGACCTTTTATCACTTGAGAAGGTAGATAGGACCTCAGGTTAATGCATTATGTGAGGGATTGCAGTTCTGACAGTGCAGCACTCCGTCAGTACTGCACTACAGGGCCAACATGGCTCAGGTACTCAATCCTTGCAGTTGGACTTGAACCCATGACCTCCTGATGTGGCCCGCAGTCAGTGTCAGCGTTATATTGTCGCACAGACCGAGAGCAGACTGGGATTGTACCTTAAAGGCAGTTTCATAATATCATGATATGTGATCCTCTAGTCTGAAAGGTCTATATTTTCAGTCACTCACATTCTGTGCAGGTTAGGTTAGGTTAGTCTGTTCAGTCACTAAATTGTGCATATGCAATATACAATAACTTCAGTAAGTATAGAATCCTTTGATTCCCAAAATGAGAAGGGTTTTGATTGCTGGTCTTCACAGAATAGAATCACCTACAGTGTGAAAACAGGCCTTTTGACCCATCAGATCTACACTGATGCCTGAAGAACATCCCACCCCCTACCCTATCCCTGCATTTCTGATGGCTAATTCACCTTGGCTCCACAGCACAATTTCAGCCAATCTACCTAACCTGCACATCTTTGGACTGCGTGAGAAAACTGAAGCAAACATGCACAGACATGGGGAGAAAGTACAAACTCTGCACGGACAGATGTTGGAATTGAACCCAGATCCCTGGCACCGTGAGACAGCAATGCTAACCACTGAGCCACTGTGCAGCCCCCTTGCCATCTTTCTTCATCAGATGACGCAGTTAAATTCGGGTGATTGATTATTTCAGAAATTCCCTTTGGAATCACAAAGCAAAAGCCCTTGCACAACCATGTGTTTCTATGAAAACCACAAACTCTTTAAATTGGGCCCTGGCTCAAATTGCGATCACTGTGTGCATGCTTGTTGATCACATTCTTCTATGTTTTTTTCTTCCCTTCTTTCCAACAATGTGTCATGGACCTATGCTCAGATAGTGAGAGTTTAGGAGGGAAGGACTATGTGGCTCTATCTTCTAGAGTGACTAATGAAGCTATGCTACAGCCTTGAGGGTTAGCACGTAGATTTAATATAGCCATCCAAAAGACTCGGCAAGTTGCTTTACATTTGACTATTGTGGATGTTACAGTTTGAACAGTGCATTTTGTGAGGCTGAGGCTAGTGAGGAGAAAAGACAATACGTTGGATGGCCCATTTTCTGCAAGTGCCTTGAAAGAGTTCACACATGCACTGCAGACCAATTCTTGTAAAGTATCGAACAGGGTGGATATGGCAGTCAATGTGTCAACTATCAATTCACAAGTGATATGTTTGATTTGTCACACCAAAGGGAACTTGTGAAATAACCAGTAACCAGAATGTAATCGTCTCCTTGGGCATGGAAAACATCAGTTGTGTTCTGAAAGAATCATCACCGGAGATTAATGGTTTCGCTGATTGTTGATGTCGATGGATAGACTCAACGGGTTTGGTACCTTGTAGATCACATTAAAACGTATATCTGTGCATGCTGGTACATCAACAGTCAAGGATTACAGTATCCACCTGAATGAGCTGTATTGACATTTAAGGCGGATAACATCAATACAAAAGATGCTGTGGAGTCTGCACAGCAACAGACACAACACCACAGAGTGAAGCTAAATCATGATAATTGTATAAGGACTGTCTGGTCATGTTACATATCTGCCCAGGCGTTATCTAAATGAATAGTGATAATATATCTATTTGCATCCTTGCATATGTTACTGGACAAGATTCCCATTCTTTAAAGGGAAAAGGCGTAGAATCCAGAACAAACACTAGCTGTGCTTTTAAGACAGTTACTTGACATCACAATATGTGACGCCCCCAGTTTCTTGGGGAATGGAGTCAGTGTCATGTATTTAGTCAGTCATTTATGTGCATGTAACATGACAGTAATAGTCTAAGCACAGAAGTCAGACCTTGATAAATCTGAGATTTCATAGCAATGTAAATTGTTAATGTTGTTAATAAACTTTAAGATATCCGTCTCAGCCATAGCCTATCCTTTGTTTTATGTGAGCTAACACTGAGGGCAGTTCTCGGAAAATATCATACAGCAATGGTGTTGGACGCAAGGTACCAGATCGGACTAAACCAAAGCTGACAGATTCATTCTGTTCCTTTTCTTTTCAGGAAAAAAGCCAGAAATTAATTCACAACCAGCCCTCCAATGTGAAAAGCTGGACACAAAACAGGTTTGTGGATGTCTCATTTTATTAATAAATTTTCAGTCTAAGATAGGCAAATTTTTGCTAAGCAAAGGTATTAGAGGATATAGAGTTAGGCCAGAAATCAGCCATGATCTCATTGAATGCCAGAACAGACTCAATGAACCAAATGGCTGACTCTTGTTCATATGTTCCTCTTTCTCAATACTGGGTGCATACACCCCCAGTAACAAATCTCACATTTCAGAAAGGATTACTGACAGAGGTTATGTATGATTGCATAGAAGTGGTCATACGTAGCTCAGCTTAGTTTCACCTATTAATCCTACTGCTATCTCCATTTACTCTCACCACGATTCCAGATCATTCTATGCCGTTCTGTTTCCTCTTGTTGCTGTTCAATGGCCAATCTAATGACCATGAACAGAAATCTAATGTTGTACGCCAAGTGTAACATATGGAAACATAGACTTTGCGAGCAAGAAAGGCACAGAAATAGCAACAAAATTAATGATGCTGGCCAAGGCACCAGAAGTGTGATTATCCTCAAGAGGATCAGACTAGTCAAGGTCTGGCTGGGTTTGATTTAATCTAATTTATTGTTGTCACATGTACCGAAGTACAGTGAAAAGTTTTGTTTTGCGTGCAGTACAGGCAGATCAAGCCATACAAAGTGCATTAGGGTAATAGAACAGAGTGAAAAATACAATTTTATGGCTGCAGAGAAGGTGCACAGAGAGTGAGCTCAACATTAAATTTAAAATTTGAGAGGGCCATTTCAGAAGGCGAGATAACAGCGGTTAAGAAGCTGTTTTTGAATCTGTTGGTACATGTCTTCTGCCTGAGGGAGATGTGTGGAAGAGAGTATAATGGAGTGGTAAGTGTCTTTAGTTATGGTGGTTGCCTTCCCAAGGCATACATGGAATCAATGGATGGAAGACTGGTGTCCGTGATGGATTGGACTGTGTTCGTGATTCTCTGAAGTTTCTTATGGCCTTGGGAAGAGTAGTTGCCAAACCACGCTGTGACATATCCAGATAGAATACTTTCTATGGTGCATCTATAAAAATTGGAAAGTGTACTTGCGGACATGCCGAATTTCCATAGCCCCTTGAGGAAGTAGAGACTTTGTTGTGCTTTCTTGACCATTGCGTTAATGTGGGTGGTCCAGGACAGATTATTGGTGATCATCACTCCCAGGAAATTGGCACACTTGACCGTCTCCACCTCAGCACTGTTGATGCAGACAGGGGTGTGCCCTCTGCTCCACAGTCATGATGTCTTCACTCTGTGGCATCCAGATGTACCATGTGGATTGGAGCCAGAAATGCAAACCAGAGGAGGGGCTACTTGGTGATAAAGACTGTTGGCTGGTCACCTAACTCATGACCCTGGTACACAGCCCACACATAGGTGGGCACCTAGCACAACAATAAATGCCAAGCTGCCACATGGAATATGATAAGACTGGCCCTGCTGAAACAATGCTTTCAACTGCCCCCTGAACACTCTGAAGGACCAATGTACTCAACAGTGCATGTGTCAAGATTTGTGCTGGTCTATTTCATACACAGAACCACACTGATAAAAGATTATGGTCCAGATACGCAGTTTGACCATCAGAGAAGGGGGAGCAAGGGAAACAGGCCCCTTTAATGATGAGGATGTCTGTGATCAGTTGTGACGCCAATGAAGGTAATTCCTATTCTCCATTCACAACCAGCCGCACATCGTACTCTTCAATGATCATCAACATTGACCTGTTCGCCATATTGTAAAGATAAAAGCTATTATAAAAATAAACATTTCAAGCAAAATGTATTAACTAAATAATGTCATATTGCATTACAAAAGCAAGTAGTCATTCTTGTGTATTCCATTAGTGCCTTTCTTCCATGTGCCCCTGCCTAGTCCTAGTATTCCAATGTGGTGTCACCTCAATGCTTGTTCCATGGCTGTTTGGGGAAACTGCTGACTTTCACCGGGTTTGACCATACTCTACTTTTCAGGATAATCTGGTGCAGATCTGAGCCTAAACCATCTGGTTTCAAACCACACCACCAAGCAATGGAAAGGAGGGTGACCCTCGGATAACTGCAGGGGCGCTGGACGGGTGGCAGCACTGCATGGATGAACGCGGTCATGTAGAGAATGGGCAGATATCCTGTAAGGGAATGTTACTGAGCCACTGCGAGATGCTACACATCCTTATGAGCGTGAGCGCTCACATCCATGATGGGTGTCGGCTTCGGCGCTATGGCAACAAGCTCAGCTTGCGTGATGACTTCAGTCTGAGCTTCCACGGCGGTACTCTGGCTGGCCTCTATTTGGGCGGTCACAGGAGCTGAGATGTTGACTATCAGACCCTGCGTTATGGATTAGTCTACAAGTGTTCTCATGGAATTGGGAAGCATTCCATGCTGACGGTTCAGCACAAGGTGTAAAGCTGGTGCCAGACTCTTCCCAGCTCATGGATATTGACTGCAGGCTTTCTGGAAGACCTGTCCACACACTGTGCATTCCATTGTGCATTCCCAACAGCCTTCACTTAGCCTGTCAAACAGAGCCCTCGTCTCTGTCCTCTGCAGCAGGATCTATGTGCAACATCTTCCACCAGTGAGAGGGCACCCATGTTAACCTTGACTCCTGCCACCTCCTGCCAATTGCTTTGTCACATACAGCTCCTGCTTTTGAGCTATCTTCTAAACTTGTCTGACTGTCAGTATTTGAAATGGTGGCCTGTGTCTATTCCTCCAATGCCTTGCTGTTGTCCACCTCCTTTCTTTCCAAACTTGGAAGTGAGTTTCTGGTTCTTGAAGGGACACACATTAGGAATTGGCGAGGTGGAAGGAGAAGCAGGAAGTACATCTGCAGTTTGTGAACTGTGGGATGGGAGAAGTGGGACGTGAGGTTAAGAATTACATCTGAGAATACTATAGCTGGTTTCAGCTGCATCTCGAGCTATGACCCAGAGAAATGACTGGCCCAGAGATGCAGAGCCACTGTCTTTTCCATGGGTGTGTAAGTTGCCCACTATTTAGTTTCTGCCACTTCTTGTTGTAACTCCTGTAAAAGAAAGGAAAGTGTGTCAGTGAATATAATGCAAAGTTTGGATGATGTGGCCATCATGGTTGAACAGCTGCTTGGCCAGACTAGGAGATAGGAAGTGAGGGTGGCAGAGTCAGAAGTGTGCATGGCAGGCGGTGAGATTATGAAACTGTGAACTGATCGATGGAGATTGTTAGTTGGAGAGTGATGGTGTGTAGAGAAGTGAGCAGTATGTGTGAAGGCCGTTGTGCAGTTGGTGGAATATGACATTTGAAAAAGAGTTTAATAATCATAGAATCCCTGCAGTGTGAAAGAGGCCATTAGAGTCATAAAGGTGTTCAGCCATGAAACAGACCCTTCGGTCCAACTTGTCCATGCTGACAACATTTCCCAAATTAATCTAGTTCCATTTGCCAGTATTTGGGCCATATCCCTCTAAACCCTTCCTATTCATATACCCATCCAGATGTATTTTAAATGTTGTAATTATACCAGCCTCCACCACTTCCTCTGGCAGCTCGTTCCATACACACACCATCCTCTGTGTGAAAAAGTTGACCCTTAGGTCTCTTTTAAATCTTTCAATTTAAACCTATGCCCTCTATTTTTGGACTCTGCTACCCTGGGGAAAGGACCTTGGCTATACACACATTCAGCCCATTGAATTCACACTGGCCCTCTGAACAGCATCCCACCCAGACCCACTCCCCCTACCCTGTCCCCTTAACCCTGCACATCCATGACACGGTGGGTAATTTAGCATGGCCAATCCACCTAGCCTGCACATCTTTGGACTGTGGGAGGAAACCGGAGCAGACACGGGGAGAACGTACAAACTCCACACAGACAGTCGCCCGAGGGTGGAATCGAACGTGGGTCGCTGGTGCTGTGAGGCAGCAGTGCTAACCACTGAGCCACCGTGCCAACCTGATGTTGATGATTTGTGTGAAGTCACTGAAATGCTAGGTTCTTGCTGTTGAGCTCACACTACCTTCACACAGTTGGTTTCAAAGGGCCTCTTGGCTCTCTCTGCAAAAAAATTCTCTCCAATCCAGTCCTGCTGCTTCAGCTAGGCCTTTTGAGAAGCAGCAGAGAATATCTGGGGATATTTGGCCAGGCGATGGCCTCGTGGTATTATTGCTGGACGGTTTATCCAAAGATCCAGGTAATGTTCCAGGGACCCTGGTTCAAATCCCACCACAGCAGATGGTGGAATTTGAATTCAATAAAATATCTGTAATTAAGAATCTAATGATGACTGCGAATCCATTGCCAATTGTCAGAAAAAACCCAGTTGGTTCACTAATGTCTTTGAGAGAAGGAAACTGCCATCCTTGCCTGGTCTGGTCTGACTCCAGACCCACAGCAATTCAACTACCCTCTGGGCAATTAGGGATGGGGCAATAAATGCTGCCCAGCCAGCGATGCCCTCATCCTGTTAATGAATTTAATAAAATCTGAGTCCAATTCAAGCCCTGCAGCACTATAGTTGAGAATTCTATTTGCTCGCATCCACTTCAATAGCCATTGCTATCACCTGCTCCAGCCAGAATGGACCTGTCTTTTTTGTTGGATGCACAAATTTGGGGCCTCCTGCTGCGGTGTGCAGCTACTGAACAGCTTATTTAACACTGGTTGCACCACACTGAAGCAAATCGGGCAGCAAGTATTGAGGGCTAGTTGCGGCATCTTTCCAGTTTGTCCAATTTCTAACTCTAACCTAATTTTCTGCAACTGTTGACCCACTGTAACACTCCGTAAAATGACTTAACTTGCTAGAAATAAATTATAGTGAGACTTATCAAAAGTTCCAATCGAATGAGTTATTTAAAATAAACACTATTCATTTCAATAAAAAGTGAATTGTGATTGTGATCTCACTTGCAGAGCAATCAGGCCAACATTTCCACCACCAACGTTGTATATGACAACATACGGACAAGTGAGAGTCCAGGCAACGAATTGCAGACTCTGAGGAAGAATCCTGCCAATACTTTGGTGTATGCTTCCATACAGTTTAACAACAAGTCTAAGGACTTGGATCCAGAAAATTCCCACCTCAGACAAGTCAAACCTGGCAGCACGCAGGTAAATTCATTTACGTAGAAAATGACAGGGCCATTCAACCCAACAGACTGATCATAAACATTTCTGCTCCAGACAAGTCTCCTCCTATCTTCTTTCATCTCATCCTACCATCATGTCCTTCTTCAATTTCTTTTCCATTTCACATACCTTTTCTAACTTCCCTTGCATGCTAATTGCTATAAGCCCTCCAGGGTAGTAGCAAATTCTGTGCTCTGTGCACACTGTAAGCAAAAATGTTTCTCCTAGATTTCTTATTGAATTTGTTAGTGATTAGCTAAATTTATGAACCCAGATTTTGGACTACCTTATAAAAAGAACCACAGAAAGAACATACCTACATCTACTCTGTCAAAACCTTTAATAATATTAAACAATAATTTTGAAGTTTTTTTATAGATCATTTCTTAATTTTTTTTCCAGAGGGTTTTGCTGCCTGTTCATTCGTAACTAACAATTGTGACCTCTCAATTCTGGTGTTGTTCCTGTCAATCAATTTTGCATCTTCTCCAGTGCTTGATATCCTCTTCATAAGTCTAGAACTTCCTAGTCTAGAACTGTGCATGCCCTTCCAAGTGATTCCTGACCAGGAGTCAAAGCAAGTTGAACATAAACTTTCTGGTTTTGAATTCTGCTTCTTTGGAAATGAACCTTGGTGCTTGTGTTTTTTGTAGGTTTATGCCTTTATTAATTCAGTTCATTATTATTTGCGAATATGTATGACCACCCAACAGCCCCAATTAGTTCACACGGTGCCTCTACTCTATTTTGGTTCTGACTTTCTCATGTAGATTAAAACTTGAAACGTGAAAAAGTTGAATTCTGATCCTCCAGCCGGAATGCACACTGTGTTGAAAGTTATTTGCCTCTTATAAAACCATTTTGCAAGTTCTAGACCTTTCCTCTTGAGTATTAACTAAATTCTGTCACCAATCAATTTTCATTAATTTCTCCTGAATCCAAATCATTTCAGTAAATCATAATTGACAGTGCCCCTCCACTTTATTATCCATAAACTTAATGCTGAGTAATTTTTATCCTTATCTATTTATTCATTCAAGAAGTTCCATCATTTGCTCATTTGCTTTTTGATTTTTATGAAAACATATTTCACCTGAGCATTGATCATTGTTTTAAACATGTCATTTTAATTTTCGGAGGCAAATTTCGCTTGCTTTGAGTAATGTTCCTGAGAATTGAATTCTGCATTTTGAAGTCTGTGAGCAGAGGGCTGTATTTCGGGAATTTAATGAGAAAATGTGACTAGAACAGGGTGAATGGCAATAACAGGGAGACAGGCACAAGAGTCAGTACTTTCTGAAGGTGAATGCCCATTGTTGAGACATGCCTCATTGTGCCAGTGCAGAATGTTAGCTTTTAAGGAAAGTCAGAGACAGAGGTAACAATAAATAGTTTCTTGAGGGAATTTCGGATCCACAGGTGGCTGAGGAATAACCACCAATATGGAGGGTTTAAGGAAGTGGGGATTCACAAAATGCTATCATTGAGCAGAAACGTTCCAGAGAGTTGTAGGGCTGGAAGCAATCACAGAGGTGGGGAGGGACAAGGTTGTTGAGGGATTTGAACATGGTGTGGTAATTACTTTGAAATCAAGTGTTGTTGGACCATGAGCTCATGGATAAAGGGCGAAATGCGAAAGGGACTCGATATGAGTTAGAATGTAGGCAGCAGAGTTTTGGGTGAGCGTGCGGTAGTAGAGGGTGAAAAATGGAAGCCTGGTCAGGAGGGCACTGGGTCATTCAGAGGTAACATAAGAATTGATGAGTCACTGGGCTAAACCAAGGGCAGAGGCTGGGGAGATTTCAGTTCAAAGAAAAACTTCCTTTTTACGTAATATGCAGAAATCTAAATAATTTATTCATCCTACCCACAGCAAAACCAAGTTACAGAATCCATCGATAGTGCTGTGTATGGGAATGTGGGCGAGTACAAACCATCCAGTGAAGAAACAAGCATCATCAGAAAAGAACCTGAAGACGATGTACAATATGCCTGTGTCGTGTTTAAGAACACGCCACTTGATCCAAAAACAGCGATCCACTGAGCAAAATAAACTGCGTGTGGCATCATCTGGGCAAACACAGTTCTGAAACCACGGATCTTGGTTATGTAGGATAATTGGATTTTCATTGATGTCATTTTGTTTTATTAATTCATAGGATGTGAATGCTTTTGGCTGGACCAACATGTATTGCCCATCCCTAGTTGCCCTTTCTTTTCAAGATGGCAGTCTTCATCTTTTATCTTTATCTTGTCAGCGATGGCCAAGGAAGACAGGTTCGGTGGTGGTGTCTGAGTTGGTGGCGACAGAGTCAGCTAGCTGGTGAGCACGGAGCAGGACTGTACCGTTTTGTGGCTCTGCTCCTGGGCTTGGCCAAGATGGCCATGAACAGGCCCAGGCAGTGGGCTATGGAAGGGCTCATTGTTCTTGACTGTCTGCCCCTTTATCGCGGTAATGTCTGTAACCAAATGTCCCTGGAGCGAGAACACGCGGTGCACACAGGCCTGGTCAAGGCCATTTGTAACTGATGAGGGCCACAGGAAATGGAGTGCATGATTGACCGAGATGAAGACATTTTAATTTACTATGTTTTTGTTCTATGGTTTAAGTTTCTGTTTGGCTTTTTGAATTTGTGCTTGCTTTTGGTTTGGTGTCCCCAGCAAGGGCTGTTTCATTTTGCCACGATATCATTTTGGGCTCGTTGTGAGGGCCAAGGGAGCTTTTATTTCAACTCATTGTCGCCCCTGTCCTGGGAACGTTCGATGGGAACAGAGCTGAGGGGAACTTTCTTTTCAGTTACACCTTCTTGTCCCCATCCCAGGAATGTTTCATGGGGACAGAATTGAGGGGGTGTCTTTTCTTGTTTTCTAAATCAGAGGAACTTTATTTTGTGTTGAAAGCAGGACCCTGGTGGCAGCATCGGAGGCAGCTATTGGCAGTGATAAGGCAACCGTAGCAGGAGCGGCGGAGGTGAAGAGGCACGTGAAGTAGAAAGATGGACTCTCTTTAAGTTACATCATTTCTTTATTTTTAAGTTAATGGCGCCGGAGCGTGGCGACAGTCCAAGCTTTTCTCCTGTGTTTTATCTTAAGTACACATGACCATAAACAACACAATTCAGATGGTGATGGCGAACTGCCTTCTTGAGACACTGCAGTCTGTGTGCTGTGGGTAGACGTGCGGTGCCAATAGGGACTGGCTTCCAGGATTTGACCCTGCGACCCTGAAGGAACTGCGATATATTTCCAGGCGAGGATGTTGTGTGGCATGGAGGGAATACCATACTGCCATAACAATGGATGGTAATCCTGAATTACTTACAGACGGATTAAAATTTTAGGTAAGACAGTTTCTTTTTAGTTGAAAACATAAAACGACACACAAGCAGATCTGGTTGACAGACATAAATAGGAGAGTCAGAGTTTCTTTTCACTCTGAGAGCTGGCTCTGAGGATGCTGGATCAGTGTTACAGACTCACCACGTGTAAATAAAGGTTGACTTGGTGATGGGACACCAGCCTCTGTGGAGTTACTTCAGATATATTTGTAGATTATCTTGGAACTCTCCTTTAACCTTTCATACCAATATTTTAGGATGCCCCCTCTTTGCTCTCCTAATTGCTTTCTTTTTACTCCCTATACTCCTCTTGGACCCATAGTATTTTGTTTCCTTTGTACCTGTTATGTGGCTGTCTTTTCGTTTTTGCCCAATGCTGAATTTTCCTAGGTATCCAGAATTCTCTGGGCTTGTTACTCCTACATTTCGAACGACAGAAACTTACAGAATACTGAGAGGCCTGAACAGATTGGACATGGAGAAGATGTTTCCATTCGTGGGAGAGACTCGGATCTGAAGCACAGCCTCAGAGTGAAGGAATGACCCTTTAGAACAAAGATGAGGAGGAATTTCTTCAGCCATTTGGTGGTGAGTCTGTCAAACTCATTGCACCAGAGGGCTGCGGAGGTCAACTCATTAACTGAATTTTCGACAGAGATAAATAGGTTCTTGATTGGTCATGGGAGCAAGGGTTACAGGGAGAAGGCAGGAGAATGGGATTGTGAAACATACCAGCCATGATTGAATGGCGGAGCAGACCTGATGGGCCGAATGGCATAACTCTGCTTCGATATCTTATGTTCTTTGGATTTTGTAGAGATTATTGACATATTAGTGCAGTCACAAAGATAGATTCATACCCAATTCCATGGGTAGTAGGCTGTATCATAGAGTTGGCAATGCCTCAGTCCTTTCTAAGATTGATCTATTGAAGGGAAACTGACATTGAGAACGACAGAAACATCCATATTGGCACACCAAATGGATAATGTCAAGGTTAATTAATGCCATCTGGGTTAAAAAAAAAACTGTCCAACTATATTCCAGAGACTTTTAAATCAAGTTGTAGCTGAGTTCCATACCTATGTATTTTATTCAGAAGTCATGGTATATAGTAACACGTGGGAAAAAGACAAGTAGAAGACCTGTTTAAGCAATTACAATTGGCTGGCTTCATAATAAATTTAGCCAAATATGAATCTGTGAAAGCAAGAGTAACTTACCTGGAACATATCATAGGATGAAGAAAGGTTTCGTCACTGGAAATAAAAATGAGGGCTCTGATAGAATTCGCTGTTCCTAAAACTAAATGAAATCATTAGTGTCTTTTTTAGGAATATATATATTTTATTAGAGATGTCTACTTAATTCCAGTATGAAAGCAGTACCTTTAACAAAATTTGTTAAGCAAAAGTGGTATTTTCAGTCAAATGCCAGGCAACACTTCAGTAGCATTAGGACAACCAAATAAATGCTGGGTGCCCCTGATTTTTCTGGTCCTTTCAAAATGGCGATTGTTTTTTTCCCCTTTATTCATTCACAGGATGAGGACATCACTGACTAGGCCAGCATTTATTGCCCAGAGGGCAGCTAAGAGTCAACCACATTGCTGTGGGTCTGGAGTCACATGTAGGCCAGACCGGGTAAGGATGGCAGTATTTCTTCCCTAAAGGGCATTAGTGAACCAGATGAGTTTTTCCCCAACAATCGATTCATCATTAGACTTTTAATTCCAGATATTTATTGAACTCAAATTCCACTATCTGCCATAGCAGGATTTGAACCCAGGTCCCCAGGACATTACCTGGGTCTTTAGATTAACAGTCGAGCAATAATGCTACTAGGCCATCACCTCGCCTGTTGCTGTTAGTGGCTTGTTACAGGATGATGAGTTGTGAATAGAGAAGCCAGTGGGGTATTTCTCAACGAAACTAATCTATTGTCAGAAGAAATAATTGATTGTAGAAATGGAGACCTGGAATTACTATTTATACTCTGAAGTCTATATGAGGCATGGTAACAGAGAAACGTTAGTTTACACTGACTGCAATTCACTGGAATTCATTGAACAGTTTCAATCTCAAATTCTATATATTCAGATGGAGTATTTCATTTCAATTATTTAAGTGTAAAGATTGTTCAAATTTCTGCGAAAGATAACATAATTGTCGTGAATAAAAAAATAACGGGATGTGTTAAAGGATTGAGAGTTGCTAAGGTTGTAAAAATGGGGGCGGTTGGGGATGAGTGAGTGGGGAGGGTCTGGTGAGGAAAGGATGAATGGATGTTAATGGATGGATAGAACATGGAACAGTACAGCACGGGAACAGGGTCTTCGGCCCACAATGTTGTACCGAATTTGACGCCAAATTAAACTAATCTCTTCTGCGTGCCCTTGGTCCATACCCCTTCATATCCTGCATATTCATGTGCTTATCCAAAAATCCTTTAAATGCCCCTATTGTATCTGCCTCCACTACCACCCCGGCAGCATGTTCCAGACTCCTATCCACTCTTTATGTAAAAACTTGCCTCTCCCATCTCCTTTGAACTTTCCCAATCTCACTTTAAATGCATGCCGTCTAGCATTAGATGTTTAAATTCTGGGAAAAAGGTTATGACCGTCAGCCCTACCTATCGCTCTCATAATTTTCTAAGCTTCTATAAGCTCTCCTCTCAGTCTCCGCCGCTCTAGAGTAAACAACCTGAGTTTTTCTAGACTCTCCTTAAAGCTCATACCCTCTAATCCAGGCATCATCCTGGAAAACCTCTTTTGCTCTCTCTCCAAAGCCTTCACATCCTTCCTGTAATGTGGGGATAAGAATTGATCACAGTACTCCTAGCATGGTCTAACCAAAGTCTTGTAAAGCTGCGATATGGCATCCTGACTCTTGTACTCAACTCCCTGACCGATAAAGGCAAGCATGCCATATGCTTTCTTTAGCAACCTATCTCCTTGAGTGGCCTCTTTCGTGTTGCTTGTATATCATGAGTTTTGTGATGAAACTCATTTTGAAATGGGCCTAAATGGGAACAGAACTGTTTCTAAGAACAAAGATTGTGTAACAGCCTTCTGCAAGTTGACGAAAATCAATCAATTGTTTACACAACTGCTTTTCTTTTATCTATTCATTCACGGGATGAGGGCGTCACTGGCTAGGCACCATTTATTGCCCATCCCTAATTGCCCAGAAGGCAGTTAAGAGTCAACCACATTGCTACGGGTCTGGAGTCATGTGTATTGCTCTCTCATGGGGGAAGCTGGTTGCAGACAGACCGGCACAAGGTGATGTGTACGAAGTGAGGTTCGGCCAACAGCACTGATTGATTTGTAAGTAATCAGTTGGCAAAAGCCATCACCAAACAGTAGAAAAGATAATGAACTTCAAAATCAGAAACACATACAGAAATTGCTGGAAAATTTCAGCAGGTCTGCCAACGGAAATCACAGCCAACACTTCAGGCTGTGAAGGAGAGAAGTACCTGGAGAAGAAAGATTGAAGAGGAGCAACTTCTGGCAAGCAAAATGTTCTTCCCAGTGAACCCTGTGGACAGGAGTCATTGATTTGCCTTCCTAGTTTTCCGCTACTCCCATGAAACCAATTTTTTTGTCTGTGCGTTGGGAGAATTTTGTAAGGGTTAACATTTTTAACCAGTAGAATTATATGTTAACAGAATCTATTTATTTGTAAGAAACAGGAATTTTTTTTTTTAAGTACAGAATCCTGAACTATGTTTTCTGTTCACCCAGATTTAAATAGATAGGTAAACTGGGAAACTTTTAAGTATTTTGATAAAATCTTTAACTTCTGTGACAACTCCAGGAGTAGCAGAGATTGATTTCTAGCATATGGCACCAATCAGTTGACCTCATTTAGGAAGTCAATATTGGTTAAAAATTTTATGTGCTTTTAAATTTCTTCAATGCAATCCTCCAATCCTAGAATAAGATGTGAGTCCACTTTTGGTACCACATTGATTTTGCCAAGATCAATGCAGAATCTTTGCAACGCATCTTAGTTATGACACCATCATGACCAGCTACTGTGTCATTGTCCATCATGAACTTACCTAGGTCTCTCACTTGAGTTAATTTCTCTGGATTGTGCATACAAGAATGCTGCTTTATAGGTAAGGCATCCCCTACAGTAATATAATGTCTAACCAAATATTTTTGCTTTTCCCGGCCTATGTATATAAAAAAGAATTATGCATCATAATGGACTTTATATGTCACTATTCTTAAATTTCTGCATATTAACATATCTCTCTTCCAACTTCTTCTGTCGGGCAAAAGATATTGAATTTTGAATACACTTACAAACAGATTCAAGAACAAACTTTCTCCCCACTGTTATGAGACTTTTGAATGGACCTCTCAAACGTTAATTCTGATCGCTCTCTCTGCAGCTGTAACACTGTATTCTGCACTCTGTTCTGCTACCCTGGTGCACTTTGTATGGTACGATCTGCCTGTGCAGCATAGCAAACAACACTTTTCACTGTATCTCGGTACATGTGACAACAATAAATCAAACTCAAGTTCAAAAACTCAAACTCGTGTTAACCAACATTTTAAACGCCTCCATTTATCTGATCTTAATGTTCCATTTCTGATTTTTTACTTTAATTATTGTGATCTTTTTCATTTCACTCCTTATTTCTTTTACAGCCATAAAGATAATTTCCTCCTGTCTATCCCCCCTGTCATAATATTATCTTTAAAACATTAAGCTGACATCCTCACTGATTGTTCTTCCTATCTGGAGTACTTATCAATAATCCTCATCATTGAGTTTCTGTTTAATTTGATAAAATCATGTTTACGATGCTTTTCATGGTCCTGCAGAGAATTACAATAACGCTAACACTTTGGGCTAAATCTTATATTTCAGCAAAGTGTCATTTTCATCAAATTTCATGTAATGTTTCTCTCCGTGAGGCCTGGCTACTTTTCTCATGCTATTGCCTCAATCTCACCTCCTTACCCTGTTACCATGTCCCTGTGGCACCGCTCTCCTCTGATTCTCCTGCTCACTGTAATGGGAAGCTCTCACCGCTGCCAAGATATCCCAGGATTTTTCTGCATCCTGGGTGCTTATCACAGCACATGGCTAACACAGGCTTGCACATAGAATTGGACATTCCTACATCTATTGCTGTTTAAATATTAAA